CACAGGCTACCACACTTGGGACAGCCGACACCTGTCCAGGATCAAGAGCCTGAAGGAGCCACCCTTACTAGCCTGGGAAGTACTACATTACACAGCTAAATCCAATCAGGCTGCTCGGGCCCAAGGTTAGTAGTCATCTAGTCTTTCAAGAGATGCCAGGGTTGATCTGATACACAGCTATTCAGAGGGGAAAAATGCTTAAAACTGTGACACAGATAGATGTAATGAGCAAAATAGCCTTCAAAGTGTAAAGCAGTGTCTGTATTTCAATGCCAAAAGCACAAATGAAGACCAAACAGAAGGAAAAGCTGCAGAGCTTTACCTGAACAAATTATCAACAGAGGAGAGGTGGAAGGAGGGGAGGGGACACTCACCTCTCCTTCCCTCCCTCCCATTCTTTAAAAAAAAAATAAAAGGAAAGGAAAAAACAAGAACAAAAGAAAAAGAAAAACATGTGTTTTACCTTGTGATTTTGGGCCTCTAGAAAAGACTGTGGGCTCTGCCACACCCAATCAGTTTCTCTCTGTTCAGTTACAATCAGTTAGGAATAGAAACTGGTGGTCTTTGGGATTGAGCAACAAAGAATGACAGAGTATTGGAGCCGAAAGGGAGGCCCTTAGAGCTTATAATGTTGGCCCTGGTAGGAGATTAGGGATACTCTAGTCTAACCCTGACATCTGACAGGCTACAGTTCCCAGAAGGACCAGAGAGCATTATTGTGGTCCAATCTCAAAATCCCAGCTGTCACAATCAACCAGAGCGTGCCGATTTGTTTCGAAGGTTTGAAAATAGGTTTTGGTATAGATCATGCATGCTCAGCAGTGGCCAAGTGACTAGGAAGACCTGCCTCTCACGTAAACTGCTTACCTGAGGTGGGTCTTGGGCCCTCATCCTCACTGGGAACTAAGATTCACCCAATTGTTAACCTGTATTGGGCAAAGGAGTTTCCTCACCAAGAGATTCTTAGATTGACAAAATCACAGACACTCCCCCCCCCCAAAAAAAAAGGTCACATCTATGTTAAAAAAGCATTTAGCCAAGAAAATAAAACCTGCATTCCAAAGGTAATGTATATGGGGAAGCAGTCAGAGGTGTATGTTCCACAGGGCAAAGGCAGCAGTACCCTACTCCACGCCTGCACATTTTTTTAAAATGTTCCTCTACAAACAAGATTCAAGTTTCTCCTAGACTGCACCATGCGACTACAGAGAGAAGCCAGGCTGGAAGTCAATCTTTTCAGGCTGTCAAGCGCCCCTTGAACCACATGGGAAGAACACCTATGTGCTGAGACTTGGACAAACCTGAACCATTTTAACCAGAGGGCAGCTCACCTGCCAAGGAAGAAAAGCCCTGCTCCTGAGAATTCAAACTCCTGGCCCAGAGGAACTCAACGGTCTCACTTCCACAAAAACTCGGAAAGTGCTGCCTGTTATAAAAAGCCTACTAGTCAATTGAAGTGGGGAGTGGGGGGGGGGTGTTGGTCAATGAGCTCTCTATGATTAACTAATACACATGGGGGAAGAATAGTCTAAGACCACTCTTCTTCCTCCCCACCCTGCCTTCCAGGTCCCCAGCTGGGCTAGTTTACAAAATGAAACTTCCAATTACAGCTTATTTTCAAGACGAGTTAAAATCTTGCCCTTTACATCAAGCTAAGTCACGAAGGCATCGAGCTGACACCACACCACCACCACCACCACCAACCCCCCCACACTTCCAAATGCCCCCACCCAAAGCCCTAGCTGTCAAACCACCTCACCCTACCTCTACTGATTTTACCTGGCTAGACTCAGTTGCCCTCCTGGGTGAACCACAAGGAAATCAACAAAGGCCTGGTAAATTCAGCCAGAGTACCCCTCTGCCAAAGCTCCCTTCGATTCATTTTGTTTCTGTGTTGTTGGGGTTTTTTTTTTTCTATTAAAACCACATGCTGAGCTCACTGGAATACAGTCACCTGGAGCCTCTCTCCATTCTTCCGCAGAGACAGTTTTAAAAAGTATCTTGGGAGGCTCCTTGTGAGTCTTAAGAGTTAGACCAAACTGCTTGGGTTACCAAAATCCTGCCCCACCCATATCACCACAGAGCGCTAAGCACTAGCTATGGCTTTAGAACACACATTGGTGGAGATACCTGGCCACTTTTAGCCCAATACCTTCCATCCTCAATTTTCCCCAGTGCTACCAAAAGCCCCAAAGTAGAGATGAAGCTCTCTCTTTGCCTTCCGCCAATCTGAACCTTTTCAGGTGGGGAGAAGAGGAAAGAAGGAGAGAAGAAAGAGAAGGAAAGAGAGGATAGAGAAGAGAGAGAGAGAGACAGAGAGAGAGACAGAGAGAAGGGCATATTCTGAGATTAAAATTTTAGAGTCGATTTCTCAGAAATGGCTCCTTTTCAACAAGACCAAAGCTAGATGATTTGGCCCCAATTCTTTGCTGCCCCATGGGCAGGTCTATGGAAGGTGGTTAGGATCTTGCCCCCTCCACCAGTGACCTCCAAAGCAGATCTCAGGTATGGTGAAAACACTCCTGCACTTTCTCCAAATCCTCCTTCATCCTCCACTTCACTGCTGGGAATATTGACCAAACTAGGGTACCTGGAAGTATTCAAGGTTTTTCTAACCTAGAGCCTGTTTCCATTAGGACCAGGATGGGCACAGGATAGATATGCAAACCGAGTCCTTTCCCAATGCCTAACAGGAAGAGCTTTTGTTCTGAGCAAGGCTACAGATCCCTGAACAAATCCCTGGACAGACGACTGCTTTCCTGCCATTAACTGTAAATCAAAGAAAAAGCTAACCAGTCTGGGGCATGAGCCATGTTAAGCCCCAGACAACACGGGAGAGTTTAGTTTTAGAATCATTACTACAAGAGTACCCTCTTATCCTAGATATTTTTTTAAAATTTATTTTGTTTTCCCGGAGCTAAAAACTGGTAGAAACGATCCTGGAAAGATTCTAACGTTACCTAGTAAATTTGTTCTCATTAAGATGGGGGGGGGGGAGGGCTCTAGAGGGGATGAAATCACACACTTAAGGCAAAAAAAAAAATGATTCAAGGCTCCCTGTAATTAATTGACTGCTGAGGTCTCTTACAACAAAGTGAATTAACTGTCCCGAAATATATCAGTCCAAACCTATCCAAAGTCAGGCCTAGTGAAAACTGTTTCCCACTCAACACTCCCCACCCCCACCCCCCAAAATCAACAATTTTAAGGAAACAACTGTATTCTTCTTTCCCTTAATGCCGTCCAAACAGAGCCACCAATAAAGACAACGGCAGTAATGCAAAGAGCAAAGCCGAAGTTGTCAGATTCCCATAAGGAAAGCCTGGAGAAAAAACACTAGGCTTTAGAAACCCAAATATGCAATAAGGACCAAGAGCTTAAAAGTAATCACTCAAGCGGGTCCGAAGATCCCCAGACCATGTCTCCTTTTTATCTGTGTCCACCTGCCTTCCCAGACAGGGCCTTAAAAATTCTGGGTTTGGAGGTAATTTTTCTAAAACCAGGTGGTTGATGCCCAATGTGCCAGGGAATAAGGGAACTCTGTGGTGGGGAGGCAGAGACCATAGAATAAGGCAACTCCCCCGAGGTAGTTGGGGGGGGGGCGCAGAGGCAAATTTTGGATGCCCTATGGCAGTTTAAGGTACCTTATTAAGGCACTCCATTGCTCCCCCACCCCTAAATCTGGCCCCTAGCCTTACCCCAGGGGGATTTTTCACTTGCCGACTGCAAGATGAAATGAAGGGAACCTCCGGACTTGGGTTGGGGGGTGGGGTGGCAGATGCAACATTTGGAAGGAGAGGAAATGCCTGGCTTCACAGGTGATTCAGGAGAGATTACAAAGCCTTCTCTGAATCACTGACACCATCAAGAAGAAATCAACAATAGTCATCCTAAAGGACCATTTCTCGCTTTGTCAGGACCAAGGAAACCGAGAAGCAACGGGGATTTTCTAAGATCCAAAGCGTGGACAGAGGGGACAAATAACACCTTCCACAGACACGGAACCGGGCCACCCGCTTCCTCTAACTGATTCGAGGAGGGAGTGTCGAGATAAAGTTCTCCCCGTTTTGAGGGTCAAGTTTGCCTTTTCTTAAAAATTAAAAATAAACAAACAAACCAATGAACCCCAAAGCTCCCTAGGAAGCTTCCCTCAGCCATTCTTTCTACCGGGAAGGCCCCCACACCCCTTAATCCTGTGTGTACACCAGGCGGGAGGGTACATTTGGGCATTGACCATCTGCCGAGCCTTTCCAATTCCCGCTTGGCAAGTTGAGTGAGGAGCCAGCCCGCCGGCTTGAGCAGCGATGGGGTGGGCTCCAGGCTTTGTCAGCCGTCTGCAGGGGGAAACCCGGAGGGAAGCGGGAAAATGGCACTTTCCCTTTACCAGTCCAGCACTTTTGTTTACCTTTTCAGGGAAGGAGGAAGGAGGCTGTGGGGCTAAGGAAAAGAAGGACGAGACGCTAACGGGCATAGTCCCCAATCTCGATTTCTGCGGGCCTCTCAGACCACAAGCAAGGTTCTGCGGGGATCGGGAGGAGCCGGCCAGGCCGCCCCCGCAGCAAGAAAGGAGAAGGGCCAGGCACTCTGTGGGGTCTTGAGGAGATTTTGAACCTGGGAAGGGGCTGCTTTGGGTAGCCGGAGAGGGAGGGATGTGCACAGGTGCCCTTCTACAACCCCTCCTACACAGAGTAGAGAGGACAGTCGGAGTTGCCCAGTGACATGGATAGATCAGAGCCTCGAGGCTGAGTGACCCTTAAAGGGAGCTACAAGATTGGGGTGCTAGGCAAATCCTGCAACTAGCAGCCTCTTCCCCGGGAGAGGAAGCTGTATGTGCCAGCTGGCGTGTGGGTGAGTGAACGAGTGAGGGGGGGGGGGGTATGGGTGTGGTGGTGAAGACAGGCACGGCCGAGGGGTTGCCACAGAGTCCGGAGGCCTGCTGTCTTGGGGGGGGGGGGGGCGTAAAAGGATGGAAGGAAGGGAGCGAGCCCCTCAGGTTTCACTTACCGCATGTCTCCGTAGGCCCCCGAGTAGCCCTCCATCCAAGGACCCAGCTCGCTCTTGACACAGCCCGGGGCTGCATAGGGCACCCTGCTCACCACGCCGCCGGGGTACCACACCTCGGGAGGAGGGAAGTCGGTCTCCTGGCCCGCCAGCCCCTGAGCTGCCCGGTAGCCATAGGGGGCTACGGGAGCTGCCTCGCTGGCTGCGGCGGCGCCACCGCACGGCCCATAGAGCTGGCCCTCCTCGGAGGCGAACAGAGTATGCCAGGAGGAGGAAGAGGACGAGGAGGAGGAGGAAGACGAGGCAGCCGCAGACTGCGAGCCCGAACCTGGGCCCACAGAGGCGGCAGCCGCGGCCGCCGCGGCGCCCCCACTGTGGGCCAGGCTGGCCAGGTCCCCGTAGCGGCACTGAGCGGCGGCAGCGGCCCAAGCGCTACCGTAATCCAGCGGGTTCTCCAACTTGATGCGGGCGTGCGGGTGGTGTGCAGGCGGGGGAGGGGGCGGCCCGGCCAGGGTCAGCTGAAAGTTGTAGTAATCGCGGCTCTGGTAGGTGGTCGCTTCGTCGAAGGAGCCGGCTTTGTAGAGGGTCAGAGTGGACGGCATGTCAAGCGGACCGGCGCCTGCAGCCTCACCGCTGCCGCCGCCGCCGCCGCCACCACCGCCGCCGCTGCCCCCGCAGCAGCCCAGGCTCTCACCGTCCAGTGCCTTGGCGTAGCTGCCCTTGAAGGCAGGGTAGTCGGCGGCTTCTTCGGCGCCCTTGGCCGAGCCGTCGTCCAGCAGCGAGCCCTTGCAGTCGGCCAGGGGGGCGCAGGGAGGCGCGGGGCGCGACGCCGACGGGCCCCCCAGCAGCTGGGCGTACATGCAGTCCCCGCGCAGCTGCTCGCTAGGGCTCAGGTGCTCGAGAGCTTCCACGCCTAAGCCCATGGACACGGACACGGCCTTGCACAGCTCCTTGGCACTGTCCGAGATGGTCGAGGTGCCCCCCAGGTAGTTGTCTTTGGAGGAAGCGGAGCCCCCGGCTCCTTCCCGCGCCCGGCTGCCGCTGCCTGCATCAGCCACCGCCGCTGCCTCCTGCTGCCGCTGCAGGAGCTGCATGGTACCGGCCTCGGCCAGAATGTCCTTCAGGTCGGTGGAGCAGCTGCTCAAGCCCGGAAAGCTGGGGCCCAGCAGGGACAAAGTGGACGGGGCAGCTGAGTCATCGTCGTCTGGCGCTGCCGCCGCCACCGCCACCGGCTGCTGCAGCCCCTTGCCGCCGGCCGCAGTCGGTCCGGGCTCCGGGACGCAGCCGTTCTCCGAGCGGCTCTCGGCCGAAGGCGGTGGCTGGGAAGGCTGAGACTGAGAGTCCTCCTCCAGAGCCAGGTAGCCGGCCGGGCCTCGGCTCGGGGTAGGGGGCGAGCCATCGTCGGGCGCCTGCTGCTGGGCTGGTGGCTGCGGCTGCCGGGGGCTGGTTTGCTGTTGCTGAGGCTGTTGGGGCGCCTGCTGCTGCTGGTGGTGCTGGTGCTGGTGGTGGTGGTGGTGGTGCTGCTGCTGCTGCTGCTGCTGCTGCAGGAGACGGGCGCCGGGGGGTGCTGCGCCCGCGGGTGCACTGGGGTGCCGAGCGCCCGGGTTCTGGATCACTTCGCGCACGCTCTGGAACAGGTTCTGGAACGCTCCCCGAAAGGTTTTGGCCGGGGGCCGGGGGTAGACCCTCCCTAAGCCCAGCTGCACCTCCATGGTCTCAGCTGCTCTGGGGCTCCTTTGGCCGGCCCTCCCCCCCCCGGCCCAGCACGGCTGCTCTGGGGCTAGCTCGGTTCGCAGAGTTCTTCAGCGGGCGCCTCTGCGGCGGCGGCGGCGACTACTGCCCACCTGCGGGAAGCTCCAGGGGAGGAAACTTGGAGAAGCCACCATGCACGAGCCCGAAAAAGTCTGGTGCGGAGCCCGCGCGGCGGCCAGAAATAGCTCTGGCTGTTTGAGTGTGTGTGCGTGTGCGTGTGTGTGTGTCTGTGAGGTTCTTCCCCCCGGGTGCACGCGGGGGACTCCCGAGTCTGCCCTCGTCAGCAGACAGTCCCTGGGCACTTGGTTGTATGCAAGATATGCTCAGTTATTTCAGAAGCAAAACAAAAACACGCCCCCTCCCCTGCACACGCAGGCACCCCCCCCCAAAAGAAGCCCCAAGGCCCCCCAGGTGCCTGGCAAAGTCTGAGCCCACGGAAGCAGGTGCCAGGCAGAGCTGGCTCTCTACACTACTGGAGCGAACCGAGGCTGCTGGCTCATCTTTTGATCTCTGGCCCCGAACTCCCGGGGTGAAGGGGCAGAGGGAGGAGGCGAGGCGGGGAGGAGGCGAGGCCAGGCGACGCTGTAGGGGAGGGGGGGAAACGAGGAAGAGGGGGAGGGGTTCTGAGCGGGAGGGGGACTGCCCTGCGCCGGCCGGCGGGCTGGCTAGCGAAGTCCCGGGTTGGGTCCCCGGGCTAGGCTCGCGGTGTCCAGGCGCACGGCTCCCGCTCCGGCTCGGGCTGCGCTGCAGCCGTGCAGCTCGCTTGCCCCCTCGGCGCTCGCGCTCTCTGCCTCCTTTCTTTCCTTCTTTCCTTCCTTCCTTCCTTCCTTCCTTCCTTCCTTCCTTCCTTCCTTCCCTCCTTCCTTCCTTCCTTCCTTCCCTCGCTCCTCACTCGCAGCCAAAGGGAGTTACCTCTCTGCAAACTCGGGCTGGGGGCGGCCGCCGGCAGAGGTGACCGGGCGCTCACAGCGGGGAGGAGGGGGCGGTGGCTTGGGCGGGGGTTGGCGGGGGGAGCACCGAGCCTGCCGCCGGCCCTCCTTCCTCAGCACTTTGCTCGCTTCCTCCGAGGTCTCCGACGCTTTGCACAAACTTCACCGAAGAGGAAAGGGCAGCTCCCGGGCGTCGCCGCCGCCGCCGCCGCTCTGCAAGAGGCGTTGGCCGAGACCGGAGCAGGGTGGAGGGGAGGGGACGGGGCGGGCGTGGGAGGGGGAGGGGGGAGGTGGTGGAAGAAGCGACGGTCCGCGGCCCCCCGTGCGCCTGCCTTGCCGGATCCCGCCTGGCCTGGGCGGCTCGGGTGGGCTCACTTGCCTGCCTCACCCCGGGTTTGCTTTTCTGCTAGCTGCAGCCGCTCCTTTCTCTCTTCCTTCTCTTCCTCTCCTCTTCCTCCTCCTCCTCCGTCTCTTCTTCTTTTTCCTTTTCCTCCTCCTCCTCTTCCTCCCCCCTCCTCCTCCTCTCTCCTCCTCCTCCTCCTTTTTCTAGTCACCGGGCACGCTGGCTCCCCAGGATCTCAGAGGGGGCGCGGGGAGGTTGGGAGCAAATGCAACAGTTTGTTAGCCGGGTTCCGCCCCCGCCCGGCCGGCCTCCCTCTCCTCTCCTCCCCTCGCCTCCTTCTAGTCTCTCCTCCCCTCCCGAACACAAAGACTGAGATACAGGGGAGACAAGTGCTAGCCGCGACCCCTGGCCCTCTGACCTCCTTCGCTCTAGTCTTCCTCCTTATAGGCTGGGGACTGGGGGTTGGAGGGAGGGTGGGATGTGGTTCCGGGAGGGTGCTGCAGTCTCGGAGGGACCCGAGGATAAACCTCTGCTTTGGCCGAGGCTGGGGGACTGGGAGTGCAAATCTGGCCGCTCCACTCGGGACCTCTGCCTCCCACGCTTTCCGACCCCGAGGCCTGCAAGCCTTTGGCCTTGCTATTTGAACTGAGCTGGTGGGGGGGGTGGGGAGAAGCAAGCGAAAGTCCAATAAGCTGGAACACTCTTCCTGGAACCCGTGAGATACACAACATGTGGCTGGATTGAACCTCAGTGAGAGGGTCCTCCTCTCCTGAGAAGCGAGGGTTAGGCTCTTGAGCTCTCCCCCATCCCCTCTCCAAACTACGCTTAGACAAACGCCCGTAAGTGCGAAGCATGCAAGGACACGAAGACTGAATGATAATAATGATGGTGATGATAATTTCCTTATCTATAGGGCTTTACCACTTCCAAAGGACTTTCCTATAACTATCCCCATTTTATAGGTGAGGAAATAGGCTCAGAGGGGCGAGATGCTTTCTCCAGGGTCACTGGCTTGATGCGTTGCTTTGGAACTCAGCTCTTCTGTTCCAAGAACCCTGCTCTCAAAAACAGCAAATATAGTATAAATCGACCAGCCCTCGGATTCCAAGCCGGGCTAGCCGGCTGATTTCAGAAAAGAGCTTTGCCGGAGCATGAGAACGTCCAGCATTCTTTCCAAAGTGCTTTCGTGTAAATCGAGTTCACTAATCACTGCCTCTCTAAGGACCAAAGCCCGCCTGTGGCAGTGGGCGAAAGGCAGGGAGTACCAACTACCACCCGCTTTTTCTAGGGGCTGAGACGTCTGTGTATCGGGTGGGGGAGGGATGCACAGCCAGTCTTGAAGCCAGCAGGGGGCCCTGGTCTTCATTATCTTTTACTCTCACTTTACCTCGGTGAAGGAAGCAGGATCTGGCTACCCCCCAGGGCAGTTGGGCATTTGTTCCAGGGCCTACTTTCCACTTTTTGCAGTTTTCCAGAGGGGAGGGCAGAGCACTGGACTGCTGCCCCTGGACCACTGCCTGAGGAGAAGACTGGCATCATGGGAATTTGCCTGTATTGCTCTGTGGAGGTGGATCAGTCAATTCAATTCAACAAACATTAGGAAGAGCCTATTCTGTGCCGAGCCCTGAAAATAGGGAAAGAAACAGTTTAGACAAGATCGAACTCCTGCCCTCATAGAGTGTGCAGTCCTTCCAGAAGATAATAAATAACCATAATAGACAATATTATCTGATGGCATTTCTGATAGCAGGGGATCTGGGAAGACTTCCCAGAAGAAGCAGCCATTTGAGCTAGGTATTAAAACAGCAAGAAATAGATGAGCTATGGCTTAGAGGAAGTGTGGTGGACATAGATTTAAAACTGGATCAGCACTTCAGAGGTCATCTGGTTCAACCTCTTCGTTTTACAAATGGACAGATGAAGGCCCAGAAAGGTCAGATGGACTTGGCCAGAATCACAGGTAGGGTCCCAGATCTAAAGGTGGAAGGAACTTTTGAGGCCACCAGGTCATTTTACAGGGAACAAAACTAAGGCACAGAGAGGTGAAGTAGTGCCCAGCATCACACACATAGATTACTTCAGTGTTCTAGGTTATTGGGAACCTATGCTCACGTTTTCCACCCTAGTGCTATGTAGGCTAGAATTGCTCATCCCCTAAGCAATGGGAATCTATAAAATACGGGGTTTGATTTTGCATTTTACATTGAGGAAGAATTACCAGGAAAAAAAAAAAAAGAATTACCAGGGGCTTTTCAGGTCCTAAAGAATGAGCTTCCCTCCCCTTAGATTGTAAGCCCCTTGAGGGCAGAGTGCCTTTTTTTAATTGATTATGTATTTTTAACATTCTGACAGGAACTGTCTTTTGCCGTTGTATCCTCAGCTGAGTGCACGATGCCTGGCACACAGTAGGTGCTTAACAGATGTTTATTGACTGACTGACTTGACCGAATCCATCCAGGGAACATTCCTTCAGTTGTTAGTGACTGTCACTGTCCAATGTGGCAAAACCTCACAGAGCCTCATTTGAGGCAGCAGGAGATACCAGCTTCATGGTACCTTAGAGATAATTGATTTAAACCTATTCATTTTCCAGAAGAGGAAATGAAAGCATAGAGACATCAGAGGCCTTTGCCCAGGCCACACAGCCAAGAGCCGAAGCTGAATTTGGATCCAGGCCTTCGAACTCCTAACCCAACGTGCTTATCTTGATGTCACTCAAATGATAATGTAGCCAGTTCTCAGTTATCCACTAAAATGGAGAGATGAGGAGTGTGTGGGGGGGGGCCAGGGCTGGGAGGGAGGGAAATTGAAGTGTCATTTGGACACTTACTTTACCCTCTGTCCTCAGCAAACCTATCAGGGACCACTGAGCTTCACATCTTTGCCTTTACGTGTCTCCTCTCCCACCCCCTCCCCCCAACTAGCAGACACACACACACACCCAAAGAGAGTAGAGTGCTCAGGAATAAAACAAAAAGGCAGTCAGGGAGCCAGAGGGGCTCTGAGGAGAAGCAAAATGTCAGGAGAAATCTATCAAGTGAGCACTCAGCCCTTGAGTAATTGACAGCCTATGCTTGCTAGTAGCCCCACTAGAAAATATCACCACCCCTGCCCCAATTTTCCCTGTTCATTGGGTCCCAGACCACTCCCATTAGTCCCTTAGGAACTACTCAGAAGAACCTTGAATGATATAAGCTGGAAGAGACATTAGAATGGAGAACATTGGAGCTGAATGGATAGGCATGGCAACTGGACCAACGGTTTCATTGACATAGGGAATTCCCAGTTAAGAAAACTCTTGCCCCAGTGCAAGTAACTACCTTCTCTGCAACTTCTGGCCTTAAAGGGTTGTCTTAGAGAGGGCATGCACTTACCCAGGGTCACACAGCCACTGTGGGCCAGAGGTGGGCCAGAAAAGGATAGAAGCAAGATGGCTCCATGATCTCACTTGGACTCAGAACCAGAAAGAATTTGGTTCAGATCTCACCCCAACTGGGACCAGACAGGTCACTAAAGCATTGCCCACATTATATGAACCCAGGAAAGAGCCTTGGTACTCATGGAATCCAACCCCTTTATTTAGCAAGTGAGGCAAGTGTGGGTGTTTTGTGTGTGTGTGTGTGTGTGTGTGTGTGTGTGTGTGTCTGTGTGTGTCTGTGTGTGTCTGTGTATGTCTGTGTGATTTGCC